TGGCAATATCCGAGTACCACCAATCGCCTAGCAAGGTGTCAAAAACTTGATGACTAAAAAAAGAAAAGAAAAAAGTGATAAAAGTACAGGTAGTCCTCAACTTACAACAGTTCGCTTAGTGACTGTTCAAAGTTACAATGGCGCTCTTCCTCCCGTCTGAGGTTTTCATTGTTGTGAGCATTTCTGTTGAGGATTGGCAGCGGGGGTGGGGTGGGGTGGTGTTTGTTTTTTATTCCCCCCGTCTGCTGGGTGGTTGCAGCAGGTTTTGGTCACTTCACATGATCCTGGGACACTGTGACCGTCATAAATATGAATCAGTTGCCAAGCATCTGAATGTAAATCACAAGACCCTGGAGTTGCTGCAACATTCCAGCTGATTGGCGCTTCTTCTGGGCCCAGCTGGAGCCTGGCACTGATCCTGGTGCTTCTACTGAGCCCTGACAGCCCCGAAGCGCTGATTCTGGCGCTTCCGCAGAGCCCTGACAGCCCTGCAGCTCCAGCCATCTCTCACTCAGGCTTGTGCGATGCTGCCACCGGTTCAGCTCATTCTCCTCCCCCGCTACCACTTTTCTAGGATGGTCGCGTACCACCTGCCAGGTGCCAATGTACCACAGGTGGTACCCGTACCACTGGTTGAAAAGCCTTGGACTAGGAAATTCTGGGAGCTAAAGACCACATATCTTAAAAGTGGCGGAGGTTGAGAAACAGTCTCCTAGAGGAGTCACATCTAAGTATAGAGAAGCCTAACCTGCCTGGTCCCTGCTTAGTTGTCATTACATGCATGCCCACACAGTATTTCTCGGTTGCTTGATCTGTGATTTATATATATCAAAATGTGATGTTTCACATCCAAAACCTTAAGCCTACGTATTACGGTATTTAATCTAAACTGCACTGCTGGGAAAATGAGGATGCACAGAACTCTTTTTTGAACAGGGTTTCTCAATCTAGCAGCTTTAAGATGTGTGGATTTCAACTCCCAAATTCTTCCAGCCATGTCTAGGAATTGAGGTCCACACATCTTAAAGCTGCTAGATTGAGAAACATTGTTCTAGCTAGAAATAAATACATACTTATACGTCTGCCCAAATGTAATATTTTGGTAGACATTTACATTCTCTGATTTTGTTGAAGACCAAAGAACAAATTGGCAACGTTCTGTCAATGGTGTACCCAAAGATTAGATGTTAACAGACCATAGATTAGATACATCTCTATAAATTACTGAACAAATAACATTTGACTGGACTGCCACAAGGTAGTAAATGAAAACTGTATTATGGTTTAACTTAGCAAAAGCTTCTGCCTGCTGTTCTTACAACAACGTTCCTTTTGCCACTTGAAGTTCAGCTATTTTGCTATGAAGCAGTCTATTTAGGATAAAACTAAAGCCATTGAAGCTTCTAGATGTGTATTGATAAGACTGAAATGGTGGGAATTTACAAGCATAAATGTGCGGTAGAGAAATTTCTGTAACATCTATAATGAGAACCATAGCATTGAAGTAGTACCTGTGTCACCTATCTCTTTAGAAACTATACCCTCCAGACTTTTGTAATTTCCATTTATACAGACTTCTACATAGTACAAGCTCCTGCATTGAGAAGCTATACAGTTTAACATCCATTTCAGGTGTAATAATGTGTGTGAGGGAAGAATGCAGAGTTTGGTAACTTGGTTCAAATAAGGAAAGAGCATGTAAAGCATATATGCCGAAGTGTGTTGGATGAGGTACTCTAGAATCATTTAGCAGAGCTACAGTTCAAAAGCTTTTATCTGACAAAAGCTTGTTATTGAATGCTTTATAGCACGGGTGTCAAACTCGCCACGTCATGTGACGTATCGCAACTTTTTTTTGCATTGCTGGAGCTGGGGTGGGCACAGCCTCCGTATGATGCAACTGGCCTGCGGGCCCGCAGTTTGACACTCCTGCTTTATAAGCTACACTTACTACGTTCTGAAGAGTGTATGCATCTATCTTCAAGTATACTTTCTAAAAAAATAGTAAATAATGCTAAGTTAAGGAATGAAATATTCCGCTTGCCTATTGGAAGCCATCCAACGCATCGGTTCAAGATAACTTACCTTTTAAAAGAGCTCTCTAAAATTTATAATGTATTACACGAGGGAACAACTTCAGTTCTTAATTTCTGGTTGCATTAAATTGTTTATCTTCATAAAAGGGTTTTATGAAGATTTCCACAGGATAAAAAAATGAGAGTTTGGATTGAGGTCCAAGCAGTAGCATCATAAAAGTTTAATTTTAGGAGAAGCAATTATGTTTTAAAAAGTTTCTTGAGCAGAGTTTTACAGAAATCCACACTTTAAGCTCAACCAGTAACGTCCAGGGAAAGGTCGGGGTTATGAGAAGTCATCTGCAAATAAATCCGTTTGGAGAGTTCTGGACCAACTCGCCTCGTTGTCGTCGTCACTCCGTCACCACGACGGACAGGAACCTCTGCAAGAAGGTGTTGCCGCTCCTGCTCTGAAGCGTGACTATCATAAGCCTGGATGCAGCCAGAATACAAAACATTATAAGTATTTGCACATGTTCTGTTGGAGAGTTCATAAATTTTTGAAATCTATGATAAATGTCCCAGATTAGGCAGAAAATGGAAAAGGAAAGTAGTGTGAGGTTCGATTCCTAGCTCAGAAGCAATTATTTTTTCAACTTCATTCCATGGAAACTGGTGACACATGGTCTAGAACAGAGGTCCCCAACCTTTTGGGCACCAGGCACCTCACATGGAGTTTTTTCCGCGAACCGGAGGGTGCATGGTTTTGTGTGTTGCCCGCATCCCACTGATGGGGCTTTGCTTGTTTGTGCGGACCGGTTGCTGGCATGCCACAGATTGGTACTGGTCCACGGACCGGAGATTTGGGACCCCTGGTCTAGAATCACAAATGAATAGCTGACGAACAATAACGGGACCAACAAGTCAGGTCATGTTTCAAGGATGATACTGTGTCTACTTGCTTAGGGAATAATCACTCTCTTTAAGCACAATTAAATGTGATTTCTGAGTAATTACACAGGTAGTTCTTAAAACCATTCATTTTATTGTTCAAAGCTACAATGGCACTGAAAAAAGTGACTTATGACAGTTTTTCACAAGACTGACAGCGTCCCCATGGTCATGTAATCAACATTCGGATGCTTGGCAACTGGTTCTCATATTTATGACAGTCGCAGTGCCCCAGATTCGTGTAAATCACCTTTTATGACTGACAAGTCAGTGGGGGAACTAGATTCATTCAACAACTCTGTTACTAACTTAACAACTGCAGTGAGTCACTTAACTGGGGCAAGATGTAAAACGGAGCAAAATTCAATAACTGTCTCGCTTAGCAACGTAAATTCTGGATTGTGGTAAGTCAAGGATTTTTACCTATACTTTTTTGTCTATGGTTCTGAAGTACTGGAATGTCATCCAGCAGAATACATGAAAAATAAGCAAACATCAATTTACTTCCAAAATCTAGGTTTTCTATGTGAAACAGTCTTTTTCTCTTGCAACCATCTGAGAATTTTAGCATGAGATTTTAAATTTCTTTTGCCAGCTGGATACGAGTTGGCATGCACATATCTAATATATCTTATTATAGAAATGTGGAAAGCCTTGCCTGCATCAGAAGCAGAGGAGAAGGGTACCGGGTTACAATGGCGCTGGCCATCTCCAGACTGACTCGGTTGTATTGCTGGATCTGTCTCTTCCATACCTGAAGCAGTCCCTTTCCAGCACGATCCACCTTCACACCTCTACACCAGTCTCCCTCAAGGCAGAAGGAGAAGCTGGTTTTATTTTTTCCCTTTCTACAAAAAACGACAAGGAAGAAATGTGGCAAAATATTGAAACAAACCATCTCGGTGATGTTTCTGTTGCTCTGTTTGGAAATCAGAAGCCATTACGTTTGAAGGAATGATATTACAAGGCATCGGACTGCTTCGAAAGTTAAGCAGAAGATGGATTTCCAATATGGGCTGACTCATCTCTTTTCTAAAACATTTGGCAACACATGCGTCATTACTTCGCGTATATCTTAATTGCCATATTTTGATGCAAATAACCCCTTTCTTAAGGCCTCATCTATCTACGGTGCGCAGGGACACCAAGACTTTCCTTGTGAAATGGACAAAGATGGTTGGAGGTTAAAAAATTAGAAATGAAATAAAATGGGAATGAGCTGTAGATTGTGGCAGATGTGTCAGTAATTCACAGAATTTATTTATTTAATGGATATTTTTTTTAGGGCTCAAACAATTGAGTCTAGGCAGTATACAACAAAGAGAATAAACGGGGAAAAATAACTAACATTAAAAAAGCAGCCCAAAATATAAAATAGAAACCGAGCATGACAATGAAACAAAAAGAGATTCTACTCAATTGATCCCAAATGTTTGGAGAAAATGTAGTTCTTAATGGCTTTTCTAAAAGTAATCACATTTGGGCCTCTTTTATGTCAGGGGAGATTGTTTTCAAAGCACAGAGGCAGCCACCAAAAAGTCATGCTTCTTAGATTCCATGAGATGGAGAAATTAAAAAAGGGAACCTGGAGCATGCCCTTCTCCTGGGGGTACATAGGGTGGGCAGGTGTTCCTGGGAGAAGGTCTTGTGTCAGGTAGGGCTTTAATGCTGATAAACCAGCACTTTGAATCATACTTGGAAGCCTCTTGGGAGCCATGGCAGCTTAGCCATATCACATACTGTAGATATAATAAGCTTCACTGATCAGTCCATGCACCATTGCATTCTGGACCAATTGAAGCTTCCAGATGGTCTTCAAGGGTGGCACCATGTATAGCATACTGCAATAGTTCAATCAGGAATGATTTAAGGCACAAATGACCATGAGCAAATCCTCCTGTCCAGGAATGTATGCAATTGGTGCACAAGATAGCCTTAGATACTTACATAGACTCTTTGTTAACTCACTCACTTGAATGGGGCTTCAGCCACAGCCTTAGTGAACATACTGGCAAATTCTCCAAATTCCTTCCAGCTTGCAAGCACTTGAACCTGGACACCTGTGTGAAGCTGCAGCTCCACCAGAGCCTGAAAAAGCAAAGATGAAAGCTGAGGCTTATCTTAAAGAGAGAGAGAGAGAGAGACACACCAAAACATAAGCTTTTATTTCATAATGGATGGCACTATTTCCTTCAGAATGATCACTCTTCCAACTCTTCTGATCCAAAAATATTTCCCTCTGCCCACTGTAGCTCAGAACATAATTATCTTTTTTTGGCCTACATATTCTGCTGTCCTTTTGAGTATGGTTTTGTAAGGCAGCCTTTTCCAATCCAGTGGCTTCCAGTTGTGTTGGGATCACAACTCCCCAAATTCCAAACTAGCATGACCACTAGGGAAAGCTTGTTTCAGAAGGAACAATTCTGTGATTAGGATGAATGGGGATGGAATTAAAATTTTCCTGGAACCCAGAAATCTCTGTATAAGCAGTGTTCTTTTATAATTTGAGCATGCCATTTTAATGCTAAACAAAAGCAGATTTTGAAACTGATTAAATTGCTATTTAGCCAGGATCGGTTGCTTCTCTAATATCTGAATGTCATGATCCCTGGCATATCTGCCTCCTTTTTATCCCCCGTGCTTGACTTCCACTTCATCCTTCACTCATCCTGTCTTCCTTGCTGACTCCATCCTCAGTCTCCTCCTTCAGTCTCTGCATTTACATTATTTAGTTTAATATTTGTATGTCATTGCAAGGAGAGATAAAATTTCAGGGTTCACTATTAGCCTCACTTGGAGATTGAAGCCTGATCTGATAGCAGAAAACCATCATTTCTAGAAGAAGTAATCCAAAGGAAGAATCTGAGACATGGCTGAGAGAGCCAGCCACACAACCTTCTGCACCACATTTACTTACTTCTTCCACATCCAGTCTAGACAATTGAGAAACTGGGTTTGTCTTCTCTTTCCGTTTCCTTGGCTTGCCTTCCTCCTGTGCCTTGCTGCTTCTTTGTTCTGCTTGCTGCAGATTCTTTTGTGACTTGGGTTTCTGAGAACTGAAAACACAACCAACTCATTCATGTCTGAACCTGGGGTCCATTTTGAGGAGATGGAGGCACTATCTCTGGTTTTGAAGCTGCAGCCCTGCACATGGAGGGTTTTGAAGCTGCAGCCCTGCATATAAAGCTGCAGCCCTACATCTTTGGAGAGATGGTAGAAGGTATCTGAATTCTAGTTGTGGTACTCTGCTCTAGATCTGCTTCCTAGTAGAAGTGTATTCCCAATATTTTAATGTCAGCTGCTGTTTAAGCTGCATCTTTCTATCAGGGCCTCTTCTGAGAGGTTAATCATAGTATCTGCCTAGCCAATCCAATCTGCAGGGTTGGTACACTCAGGATTCCTTCAGCTAAACAATGCCATCTAGAGCAGGGGTCCTCAACCTTGGCAAGCTTTGCTGGCTGAGGAATTCTGGGAGTTGAAGTCCACAAGTCTTAAAGTTGCCAAGGTTGAGGACCCCTGCTCTAGAGGGCACCCCAGGACTGTGCCTTCTCTGCCTTCTGAAATGTTCCCCAGAGAGTTGAACAACCCTCACTCTACAGGTGTTTCCAAGGGCCTTAAAAACCAAATTATGGGATTCCAGGGCCCTAAAAGGAATCCATTATTATTAGGTAGGAAGAGGTAACAGTTTCAGATATTTGCTTTTTCCCCACCCTCTGTAAGCCTAGTTTTTCCCTTCCTCGAGACCCTACATTCTTATAGCAGCAATGTTTGCTTGTTGCTATCCTAATTTGACTGGCCATCCTATTTAATTATCCCAATGTCTTACGGAGAAAATCGTTGGAAAAATTAATATTTTAAAACCACCCTGTACCCAAAATTCTTTGAGCGATTTACAACAAAACTTGCTTAAAAAAACCCCTTCCAAACTAAAATAGTTTGGGGCTGTCTCTTTTCTATCTTTTTAAATTTAAATTTAAAGATTGTACACGTGTAACATAAATTAAAAGGATATACTAAAAACAATTTGAATGAAAATGTGCACAATAAAGTGCAAAATGAACACACATATATAAACTAGGCAGTTGCCTGGTGGTCATCCAAAAACTAAAATGATTTAAGATGCAATTAAAATACAACTGAAAGCTTAGAAAAACAAGGTTTTTCATCTGGCACACAAATGCTGCTAGCTGGGGCAACAGTTGAGCATCTCTGTGGAGGGGATAGAGTTAGTAGAGGAGCAGACTTGAGCTTTTACAGCTACTAATATTTGGCTTTTAATTTGGTCTTAGAGGGGTTTTTATTTTGGTATTTATTAATTTTTTTTTTTTTGGTATTTTATTGTTACTTGTTTTTAATATGCTGTGCACCGCCCTGAGTCCTTCGGGAGAAGGGCGGTATATAAATCTAAACAAACAAATAAATAAATAAATAAATCTGGCCCTTCGGCTTTCCATAGCCAGTCCCTGGCAACAGCCCTTTGGTTTGGCTCTCCACAACTGTCCCAGTTTCGCATGTGGTCCCTTGGGAAAATCAATTCTCCACCCCTGACCTAGAGAATGGCCCCACTAGATGACCTGAAGGCCTGGGTCGGTACATATGGGAGAAATAACCTGGGTTCTAAGCCAATTTACAGGTTTCAGGTCTTCATTAAGCTTTTTAAATAGCCAACTTCTGCAGTCCTCATTTTTTCTCCCTTTGGAGCTGTTTGCAAATATGATACCGTGTTTTCCTGAAAATGGAAAGCCAAAGCCCTTCCTGAGATGCCAATCGTTGCTGGAACTGCAGTAAGAATTAACTTTATAAAAAGTGTGGGGATAGAGAAAGGGTAAGAATTTCCTCGGTGTTTTAAGCAGAAATTTAACTTGGAGTGGCCTGTCAAGAACAGAAAGTATCCGATTTAAAGGATCAACCTATGTCTCTCTATATAGCAATTATATATATTGCTATATTATATAATGCTATATAATATATAGCAGTAAAAAGTAAATTTTAACCTGAAGTGTTTTTCTAGTTCTGTTACTGCCAATGACAGTGTTTTCCCAGGAATTTTCTCTGTGATTTTCGCCACAAAACTCTGCAGTGTTTCGGTAGGACCTTCCACCCTAGCCTGCAAAAATGAAAAAGAACAGAAAGGAGAGTCTTTAGCTTCTTGGCTGAAGCAAACATACATAACCCTTCCAGCCACTTAGATACAGATGATTTCTCCAACAAAAGCACAAGAAATGCTGTAGTGAGCTACTCCAGAGGCTCATCTTATCCAGAATCCTGCATTGCAGAGTTGACCCAATGCACTTGATTGGCTTATCATGAGAACCAGAGTTCATTCCCAATACGGCTTCCCAGCAGGAGACATCAAAAGTGCAATTCAGGAGATATTCAGCCATTGGGCCTAGTGGCCACTGAGAGCTCACGCCTGTGGTATCAAAACACAATACCCAAAGAAAATAATAAAGGCTCACAGCAGTATTTATTAGACAGTACATACTGGAGGGAGTCTCCTCCAGAAGAGGAGACAAAGAGATGCATTCATGTTTATACATGTCAGAAAGGAGATGAAAATGCTCCATGGATACATGTTCATAAATAATAACATAATAAATCTCAAGATTATTTCTTGTCCTTCTGCTATCTACAAATAAATGTCAGATTACTTCCTGTCCTTCCTCAGATTACTTCCTACAGAGAACAATGGTCTTAGTTAGGAAAAAAAATTGCATCTTGAAATTCAAGGGTGGCAATGGAATGTACTGATAAAAACTTACAATAGGCCACTTAAAGCTAAACTTTGCAAGGCCCCATTCTTTGTCTTAAACCATTTCATTCTAGGACTTCCAGTTTGACATCATTGCATAACGGACGCAGGAAGACGGGGCTCCATCTTCTGCGTTCGATTTCACCCTGCTGGGGACCCTAAAAAGGGTCGAAAGTCAACCCAATGAGGCGATGGAGAAGGAGGGGACCCTCGTTGATTGCGGGAGGTTGGCGGTCCTTCCACTTGATCCGAAGAAGAAGCCCAGCGGGGGAAAGACTGGCTACATTTGTGTGGCCAGTCAGAAGCTGCTGACAGCTTAACCAGCAACTTTTGAGCAACGTGGATGGAACTGGGTGAGACCCTATCCTCTCTTTATGACTTTAAGACTTCTTCCTGGGAAAAAAACGCCCAAAGCAAAGAATCCTCCCCGATGAGAAAGGGAAGGGGAATTTCCACCCCCTTCCCTCAGGAAAAGAAAAGCGGCGAATTAATTGCTTGGGGAAAAATAGAGAAAATTACAAGATTAATTTAGAAGCAATACACATATATAACTCTGAAATTTGGGGATTAAAAGTGCTTTTGAGATTATTATTTTTTAAAGAGACTTAAAAAGCTTGTAATATAAATTTGTATGTAAAAAGCTGGAAGAAGGCATCAACGACATCTAGTGGCAAACTACAGCACTACAATTTATTATGCCTAAAGGAAACTTGGCTGGAAGCCCAGACTCAGAAAATACTCTTGTTGTTTTAGACAGCTTTCTCTTTTGAAGACTGTAGCTGGGAAAAGGGGGGGGGGGGTTAAACCCTCTTGGGCTGTTTATCTGTGTGGCAGAGACAATAAAATATTTTGAAACTGGCCTGCCTGGACTATGAACATAAATACTAAGTGACTTTTAGAGCTGTGTCATGGAGCTATTTCCCTATAAAAGAAACATGCATTATTGATTGAGACGATGGAATACTTTGGACTATAAACCTTTGATTGATGAACAATTTTAAATTGCTCTTCTCTCTCTGGACAGAAAAGATGTGTTTTTCATTGGACAGAAAAATTTGAACTTTACTTATATTTGCTGAGGAGAGACTTAAGGATGGACTGATAGACTGACTGGATAATTAGGAGTTCAAATGACAATTGACTGAAACTTTTTAAATCCCTAAATAGATTGGACTATAAAGACTACATACAAAAACAAAATGGATCTTCCATACTTAGCTTCAAATGGTAAAAAACCATCCCTAACACCTGTCCCCAAAGTCCCCAGCTTGACATACCAACAAGAAAATGTTGATGAATTTCAGAAAGAAATTCTATGTTAAAATCAATACAAGAGACAATTGACTTAGCTCATGATGACACCAAAAATAACACAAATGAGATAAAAGAACAATTCTTTAATCTAAATCTACAAACTCAGAAAATGACTACAAAGAAGGAACTAGCAACCCAGAAAATAGAAGGAAAATCAGAGGAGGCAGATCCAAAGATGGAGGACCTAAAGAAAGGAACTAACAGACAGACTCAGACAAATGAAGAATTAGAAGACGTAGTGATAATATCGGATATGGAAAAGATATCTTACCTGTCAAGATCTCAAAACACACTTGAGGATAAGAAAGAAGAGCTGATTGAATGGAAGATAGAGCTTTTAGGACAGTGGTGGCGAACCTATGGCACGGGTGCCAGAGGCGGCACTCAGAGCCCTCTCTGTGGGCACATGCGCCGTCGCCCTAGTCCTAGGCCTTCAGCTGGATTTTATAAAACCTTTTCGCTTTAGGCCTCTGCCGCTGTGTGCAAAAAAAAAAAGGTTCAATCAGTCAATTTCAACTTCTCGCGGGAAAAAAAAAGGTCTTGCAAAGTTGGAATTGATTGATTGAACTTTTTAGTTCCACCAAGTCTGCCGTTACCACTGCAGCCATGCCCACCCAATGGGCCACGCCCACCCAATGGGCCATACCCAGCCAATGGGCCACACCCACCCAGCACTCGACGATGCATAAGTAGGTTTTGGGTTGCAGTTTGGGCACTCAATCTCTAAAAGGTTCGCCATCACTGTTTTAGGAGAACTGTGGGAAATTGGAGAAGGAGGGAGGCTGTTTAATGAATATCAATAGGCTGAGCGTCCTTCCAAAAATACTTTAATCACATTGTCTTTCTTATTCCAAACAATATACATAAAAATAGAAGAATTATTTGATGATTCAAATGCATTGACTTAGAAAGTTAGTTGGCAAAGGAAGAAAGCTAGAGTAAGACTGAAGAAAATAGAGGTTTTGACCCATTAGATGGGATATTATACTATTAATCAGATATTTGAACATGGCTGAGAATAGATAATTGTTAGAAATACAAATATTATTATAACTAGAAAGATAGGATTTCTAACTAGAATATTATATTTTGGTATGAGAAGGGAAATATGAAAATGCTAAGAGGTTTTGAATAAGGGAAGCTTTTGGTTACCCAAATATAACTTATTATGAGAAAATGTAACAAAGATGTTGATATTCAATTGTATATATGTATTAACAACAATAAGTTAATATGTACCACTGAATTACTAAAGGGCCCAGGACAACACATTGTTTATTAAGTACTTATGATTGTAAAACTAGAAAATTAATAAAATATTTATTAAAAAACCCCATTCCATTCTAGTGAAAACTAATTTTCTCCACATTCCTCCTGAATGTGTGAAGTAAAAACGATGCAACTGATACACTCACAAAGAGCGCTGGTTAGTTTTGCAGCCATCAATTTTTCATAATGAAAGAGAACATTTATCACATCTGAGTCTCCTTGCTCTTTATTGTATCATATGAGAAACATATGTTGTATTTTAGGGCAAGGTTTTTGTTTTTTTTTTAGCTTTCAGTTGGACACTGCTAGAGCAATGTTACCTGCTTGCTGTTGTGAATCATTGCAATGAAATCTGGGAGCAGCATTGGCACTAGGACATTGGGTTCTTCTATCCAGTTGTCTTCTTCAGCCTTCAGGCCAAAACATACATTTAAAATAGGAGAGAGAGAAATATAAGGACAGCTACTGTTAGTAAAAAGAAACAGCAATTGGGTCACAGGCAGGATTCCTTCAGAAGAAAAAATTAACTAGGAAAATCAATTACTTTAATCAAAACTACCAAAACAAAGGATTGTGGGGGGAAGACACATACTGTCATACCTCCGTTAGGCCAGTTTTCCTTCTCCAGGTGATGCTGCAGGGCACAGCCTGGCTCTCAATCGCATAGTTACTCTCCATTGACTGCAAAGCGACAAGGATCTCATCCGCACCATTAATCTGTAAGAGACCTATTGGAGGCTACAGTTCAAGATGGATCCCTAAGAAGGAGAACATATAAGGAAACCAAGAGGGGAAAAAATGTACCTGGGTCTAACACCATTTGAATGTGTTTCAGACACTGCTCTGGTCTTTGGGCTTTGCGAAGTTGGGCCAAAGCTACTTTCCTCTGTTTCTCTTGTTCCAGCAGCTGCTTCTGACCTCCTTGCTCTTTGCTCTTCTGCAGGACAGCCTGGCAAACTTTGTCCAAGTCCTGATGGTTGTGTCTTGTACTTGTCTGAAAAGACTTCAGGCATATTTGGTGGGTACCATCCGGCATCTTATTATCAGAGATGCAAATTGGAAGCTGGGGCGAGGATTGTGGCTTAGCATTCCATGAAGATACCTCCTGATCACTGTCTGACAGTTCCCAAGCACTGGGTGCCACGTTTTCTTGGAGATCTGAGTCAGCAGGTAGTGGCTTCTGCCAGCAAGTGGGCACCAATTCGTCATCGCTGACAGGGGGCCTATTATGCCCAGGGGACTCTCGGCCACTCTTGGTTTGGATCCTAGTAAATGAAGGAGCAGTTGTAGAGGGTCTGGCTACCAGCAACTTCCTTCGGAGCCTTTCAGCCAAGGGGACAAATATTTCCTCCTCCTCCTCACTCTCGCTAATGAGCTGCAGTCTCACATCTGTAGAAGCAGCCATCTTGACAGAATTGCATGGACCATGGGGCTTTTTCCTGGCAGGTGAGCAAAGGAATGAATCCTCTGAGTCTGAACTGGAGAGCACAACTACCGGGTTCTCAGGAGAAGGCCGGATACTGTTTTTTGGGTCAGGAGGTTTGTTTACAGGAAAGAAAACTGGTAGTTCCTCACAGTCACTCTCATCCGGTTCTGAGAACATGATGTTTAGCTCCATGCACTGAAGAGATTGTGCTGGGTTGGAGTGGCATCTGAAGAAAAGAAGCGAACAGTTGAATTCAACAATAGAAAGTTCTCCCTCTTCAAAAGTCACATTCCCTCAAGGATCATTGATCAGGGTCTAATGCTAGAAGAGAAAAGAGTCAAAGCCAACTATGGGAGAGGTCAATCAAAATCAAGTCGCCAGACCTCAGCATTTGTTCTTTCTATTCTCCTGCCCAGTGTATACTCCTGGATGAGGAACAAACCAGTCTGCCTACACTTCTGAAGTCAGGATAAGGAGTATAAGCTTCCACATTGGGCTTAGCTAATGCAAAGTCAGAGCAACAATCTTCAGTACAATTTTCCCCAAGTGACTCTTCTCCATGTGTGTTTATGATACAGTCCCCAAAATTTCCAATCAGCATAAACAATGTCCATGTTTTAAGAATTCTGGGAGCTGGAGATTGTTCATCTCAGAAGATAACTGATCACGTTGTTTGGGAATTCTGGATGCTATGGAAAAAAACATTTAGAGGATGCTATTGAGGAGGTCTGCTCTAAGGAACAGGAAGCAGACAGTTTCCAATGCTTATCAATTCAAATCCTTCTGTGGACTCCCCTACTAGTTCCCAGGAGTTGCAGATGGTCTGACTACCCAAGTGAAAAGATGTCATGCCTTTAGGAACTCAGCAATTAGAGTTATCCAGCCTGGTTGCTAAATACTTCCTGTGGAGGAATGGGGGGAACACCATTATTCCTTGTGGTCACTCTGGAACCTTCTAAGAACATCTGCAATAGAAGAACATCAGAAGTCTGTGGAGTAGACCTTTCCCACCACTGACTGGCCAAGGATTTAATAATTCATCACTGACGTCTTCCTTCTACACTTTCAAAGGGACTATATTTTATCATTTATTCATATTACTTACTAATCTTTTCTCAGGGATTATACAATAAAAAATAAAAGCCAGCAATAGAATTGGCAGAATAGGAAGATCTATAGAGCCCCCTTCAAAGTGAGGGAATCAAATTTTCAGGGGAACTCCAAAATTCCATTTTTTGTAATTCCCAAAAATAAGGGGCCATCACTGAACAATTCTTCTGCCCACGCCTCTTCCAATCATTTGCCTGCCTGATGGTTTTTAATAACGAATCAGAATGCAAGATATCAAATATCATCAGCATCCTATACTCCTGTCAGATAGAAAGTGGTCCTCAATGGAACCACATCTACATGGAGGGAAGTGTGTAGTGGGGTGCCCCAAGGCTCTGTTCTGGGCCCAGTGCTCTTCAACATCTTCATCAACGATTTGGATGAGGGGATAGATGGGGAACTCATCAAATTTGCAGACGACACCAAGCTGGCAGGAATAGCCAACACTCCAGAAGACAGGCTTAAGATACA